TAGAGGTGTACGACACGGAAACAGACCCTTCAATCCAACTCATCCATGCCAACCAGATATTCTAAATTAATCTAGTCCTATTTGCCAGCATTTTACCCATATTCTTTGTCCTTTTTCTTTGAGATGAAGTCGGGACATGCTGGAAAAAGGAAAAGCAACACAACTACTGTTCCGGCAGCTTGGGAATTGCAGACTGTGTCTCCATCTTCCAAAACACTCCAATTTAAAAAAAAATAAAATGGACTTATTAAATACGTATTATCTAACTTCTCAACCCGGTATGAATGATCCAACTCCACTCAACCAATGGGCCAAATGATGTACCCTTGTTTCTAGGTTTCTATCTCCTCTATCAGATTGGTCAGATTGCTGTCATTGGGATGCAGCAAAGATTTGCTGTCTCCATGACACCTTTTTTGAAAAAACTATGCAGTGTCTGTACAAATTTGTTCTGCTACATAAAACAGCCCTGCTTATTTATATGCGTAGCTTTTAGCATATGCAAATACATCACACTGCAGGCTCAACTAATGGTCTTAAATTGGTTTCTGGTGTAACTATTAGTACAGATTAGATTATTTAATGATTTCCAATAGCAGAATAATTTCTAATGGTGGATATACCTTTCTGAGGCTTGTAAACATGGGCTGGCTGAGATGAATTGACAGCTACAAATAGTCAGTGAGAAAGGTGCTTTTATATGGTCCACCAGCCATTGGGATGTATGGCCTACATATATTGCATCACATCGACATTGAAACTCACAGTGTGATGCACTTACACATACTAGAAGCTACATAACATAAATACACAACATCCTGTTTTATGTAACCTAAAGGAATTTGCACATACATTGCATCTTTCTCAAACAAAAAAAAATCACTGAAAAGTCAATCTCTGCTACCATCCCATGGCAACAACCTGACCAATCAGAATCAGCCAGCCTGCTATGACAATTGATATTGACAGGTAACTGTTCTTGTTGAATCCCTATGCCAATGATAGCCCCACCAATCAGCACACTTTTCTCATGTTGCATAAAATCGTCTCCCTTCGTTCAAGTCTGTTTCTTTCCTGCTAGTTCTTATGAATGCAAATGCAAAAGCTTCGACTTCATGTCTTTCGTTTTTAAGCAATGTTTAAGTTCTGTTATGAACATTAAAAAATAAGTTCAAATACTCAGTTGTTAATGAAGGAATTATGCCATGTGGTTTAATGGTTCAGATAAAAATCTTTACTCGACAAGAGTTGAACAAGACATTCCTATTAACAATATATTTCACAAACAATTATAGTTTAAGCCCAGAAATCTCAATGGGACACTATTGTTATTTCCACTTCTTTACAGGATTTAAGGATTATTTCTTTTTTTTTCTGGGAACAAACAAATGTGTGCCACAGCTCTCAGGGATTCACTTTTTGATTTTCTTCAGTGTTCCTGATATTCTCTGAAGTATGACATGGAGGTTTCAGTATTAGACTGGGGTGGACAAGGCCAAAAATCACACGACACCAGGTTATAGTCCAACAGGTTTATTTGAAGACCCAAGCTTTAACCTGGTGTCGTGTGATTTTTGACCTCTCTGAAGTATGGTATTTCTTGGGCTCCTTCCATTATCATCTAAATGTTCTCACTAACTTTTCTGAAGCATCTCAAAATAGTGGACACTTCAGCTCAAGCTTGGGCCTCATTTTTTGCTTGCTTTGTGATTACAAAATCAGAAAGTCATCTAGATTTCTGATAGTACTTTGCTATTGGTAGTGTAGATTTTTCCCTCTACTTATCCAGGCTCCTAGACTGCAACTGTCTATTTCTGTGAGATATCACATAGATAAAAGCCAACCAAAAAAAGAACTATTTTTATAATCTATCCTCGTGGCAACATGGCACACTTGGGATGGCTCAGATAAGGATTTAAATTAATTATTTTCTGTTCACAAACTTCAGGTTTTTTTGGGAAACCAAATGGATACTTCAAACGATTTGTGAAGACAAGTATAAGCGTTCCATTTCCATCAAAAAGTTCTGAAAGAGACGATGTATTGTTTACTATTTTCACACTCCTAACACTGACCCTATTATTTAAACACAGATTATCGTCTGAAATGTAATCATTTTAGGCCTGTTTACCAGCCCCCAAAACCATATGTCTCCAGCAAAACTTCAACCCCAAATAAAAGTTTTATTTTTAGAGATTATGAATTATGAAATCAGCTATATTGTTACAAAAAGGTGTAAAGGCATTTTTATAGCCGTTTCTAACTTTAAAATCTTTTATGTCTAAACCTGCTCATTATTACTGAGAATAGTCTGAAAGATGACAGGGAAGATCATTGAATACTCAGGATTTCATCCATGGAGTAAAAAGAGGAAGAGCATAATGGCAGTAAAGTTTCTCCACTTCCCCATTGCAGCTAGGTTTGTTTCTCTGGGTGTTATATGTCATGAACATATGACAACACTTACATTTATGTAGCACCAGTAATATGGTAAAACATTCCAGGCCACGTTATACATATAGTTTTCATCAAAGGCTGATATCGAGCCACAAACTGATATTTATAAACTGGAAACGAAAAACTTTATCAACATGTTATACTTTTGGAAGGGTCCTAAAGAAAGTGAGAGAGTGGCAAAGAGAGGATAAGATATTTAGGCACAAAATGCCAGAGCTTAAAGCGTCATCAGCTGAAAACACAATGTCAGTGGTGGAAAGGTGAAATTTAGGGATCTACAAGAGGCTGTTTAGATGTCAGAGATTTGTAGGGATGTCAGAAGCTTTAGAGTTGGAAGAGAGAGGCCACACAGGTATTTGAAAATCAAGATGATTGTTTAAGGTCAGCAAAGCCAGGAATGATAAATGACGGGTGTCTGTGTTAGTAAGGGTGTGAGCAGTAGGGTTTTAGATTGACTTGTGTTTAAGAATGGTGCAAATTTAGGAGACAGGCTAGGTAAGCATTGGAATAGTTGAGTATAGAGACAATAAAGGCAAGGACAAGGGGTTCCCCAAGATGTTTACCTGACATGAAGAAGGGTGGTATTATGGGGACACACAACCACAGGCAGTCAGATGGGATATGGTATGAACACTGAAACATAGAAACCACAGGAGCAGGAGTAGGAGTAGGCCATTTGGCCCTTTGAGCCTGTTCTGCTATTCAGTATGTTCATGGCTGATGCTCTATCTCGATGCCATATTCCTTCTTTCTCTCCATGGACCTTAGTACCTTGTTAAAAATTACCTATCTTTTTCTTAAATATATTCACTGTCTCAGCCTCCACAACCTTCTGTGGTAGCACATTCTGAGTGAAGAAATGTTTTTATATCTCAGTCCTGGATGGTTTACCCCATATCCTGAGAGTGTAATCCTGGTTCTAGACTCTCCCACCAGTGGAAATATCCTACCTGCATTTAGTCTGTCCAGCCCTGTTAGAATTTTGTACCTCTCATTCTTCTACACTGTCACGAAAGCAGGCCCAAATGAGGCAATCTATCCCTATGTGACAGTCCTGCCTTTCCTGGTACTAGCCAAGAGAACATTCACTACATTCCCTCTATGGAGAGCATATCCTCTTTAAGGTGGGGAGACTAATCAGCACAAAGTACACTAGTATGGTCTCACCAAGACCCTGTATTACTGCAATTAGACATCTCTACTGTCCTTAGTATCAGGATTGAGTCACGAGGGAAAGTTAGATAACTTAAGACTTCAGATTTCAAAGCTGGCAAATTAGAAATGGACTTAAAAAAATCAAAAAAAGATCTTCACACGTTTGGCCTATGTAACAATATGAATAAAAAGATGAATGATGGGCTTGAAAGAAAGCTTTAGGAATAAATGCACACTACTTAGTTTGGTGAGGAGTTGACACTGGTGAACTTTGGATAGCTGGATCCATTTTTGTTTTCTGTGTATAAACATGATTAATAGTAACAGGAGTAGGCCATTCAGCTCCTTGAGCCTGTTCCACCATTCAGTGAGATCATGGCTGAGCTGTGACCTCAGTCCGTATTCCTGCCCTTGGCCCATATCCCTTAATACCTTTGCATACCAAAAGTATATCTATCTCAGATTTAAAATTAACAACTGATTCTGCATTCACTGTCATTTGTGAGAGAGAGTTCCAAACATCTACCATGCTTTGTGTACTACTCAGGCTTTGTATGGTCATAAGAAATAGGAGTAGGAGTAGGCCATTTGGCCCCTTGAGCCTGCTGACCCTAGTTGTGGTGTTAACTCCAGTTTCCTGCCTGTCCCTCTTAAATGTTGACTCTCTTGCAGATCAAAAATATGTGTAACTCAGCTTTGAATATTTTCAGTGATCCAAATTCAGTTGCTGTCTGAGGAAGTGAATTCCAAAAACTAACCATCCCTGAGAAGAAATTTCTCTTCATGACTGCCTTAAATGGAAGATGCTTTGTTATTAAGTGGTGGTCTCCACCAATAGGGTAAATTACTTCTCAGCATCTATCCTGTTCAAGCCCCCTTGGAATTTTATATGTTTCAATAAGTTTCTCATTCTTCTAAACTCCAATGACTGTTGGCAACACCTGCTCAACCTCTCATCCTGAGCAAATCACTTCATCTCAGGAACCTTTTCCAAACTGCTCCTTTTGGGTTTGAGCACAGGGATTTTAAAATTTGTTGACTATCTTCAGGTAGGAGGTTTGACCAAATTGTTAGGATTGTAGAAGATGAAGGCATAGAAATTTTAATTTTGCTTTGAAGTATTGGATTCCCCGGCAGCCAGTCCAAAGGGCTGACTGACCTCGCCTCCTCCTATTTTCTAGATTTCTATGTATGCCAGTAGCCAATAGTTCAATTTGCAAAGCATCACTGGACATTTGTTAGTTTGGTGTCCTGCCTTTGATCCCACTGGTTCCATTGTGATCAATGCTGGAAAGTATGATCAAATCTTTGAAATGTTGAATATGAATGAATATGGTGGTGAGTCCTCCATTTTCTTCCAGTTATCCTATTTCCTTCCTCCTTTGCAGCTCGAACATTGCATGGAAAATTTGCACAAGCAGAAAACTGTGTTTTTCAAGAAAACCATAGAGGTAAGCATTTTATTTAAATTTCTTTCCTGTCTTCCTTTAAAGAATTTACATTGGTCTATGGTTTGCTGCTTTTTCTTTTGGAGGATATTTACCTATGATTATTCACTACGTTAAAGATTAAATAACTTGGGGATAAGTTTTATATTTATCTGGTGGAGGAGAAGTCTTCAAAATAGGCCAAATTAACATGCAATTTGGTTCCGGTCATACACATGTTTTGTTGCCTTTCATAATTTCCTGTGGAATCTGATTTCTCCACCTTTTCAGGCAATGCATTCCAGATTTTCATAACCCTCTGTTGTGTAATAATGTATCTTCCTATTCTGCCCGTTTCTGTTTAGTTCTTCTGGCAATTATTTTAAATCATTGCCTGTTGGCTGTGATCCTAGTTGCCAAAGAATATAGTTTTGTTCCTATTTATTCAATCAAAGCCCTCCTAATTTAGAATAATTCAGTTTGGTCTTCCCTTAGCCTTCTCTATGGAAAGCAACCTTAGGCTCAACCCTGCTGCAAATTTTTCAGATGCCTTGATACCTTCCTAAATTGTGATGTAGCATACAGCACTCCAGCAGGGAATATGTGGAAATCCCTTATTTATAAACTAAATGCCCTTATTTACAAAGCCAAGCATCTGATACTCTATCTTAACTGTCAATTTAAAGGATTTGTGCATATTTACTGTGAGATCCCTCTGCGCTTGACAGCCCCTGCTTAGAATTGTACTATTTGTATAATGTTTCCTCTTCTAATGTTACTCCCAAAGTAACCATTTCATATTTAACTGCATTAAGTTGCACCTGCCCATTACAGGTTTTGAAGTCTTTTACTACTGTTTTCACATTTACTATGTTACCAAGTTTTATCTGATCCACAGTCTTGAAAGTTGTAGCCTCTATAGCCAGGTCCAGGCCGGTTATGTATCTCAAGGAGAGTGATTGTACCTCCCCCGGGGATGTACCTATTTCAAACTTCTCTCCAGTCAGAAAAACATCCATTCATCACTACCCTCTTTCTCTTCTCCCTCTTAAACACTCAATACAAACAGCCCAGTCCATCATGCAAGCCAACCTTCCATCCATGACTCCATTTGTACTTCTTGCTGTCTTGAAAAGGAAGCCAACATAATCGAACACTCCTCCCACCAGGTCATAATCTCTTCCAACTCTTCTGTCGGGCAGAAAACGCAAAAGCTTAAGTCAACAGATTCAATAAAAACTTCTTCCCTGCTGTTATTAGAATCTCTCAAATTTTAAATTTAACATTAATCTTGCTCTTTGTGCACTTTCTCTGCAGTTGTAGCATTGTATTCTTCACCCTGTTCTGCTACCTTACTGCACTTTGTATGGTATGATCTGCCTGTACTAGACGCAAAACAAAAGTGTCCACTGTACCTGGGTACACGTGACAATAATAAATCAAACCAAATATCAAACAATTTGTTATTGTCTGCTTCTAGAGTTTGCTCAATGATCCTCCAATTGAATCTGGAGGATGAGGCAGAGGCAATGCTTTGAAGTGTTGCTGAACTACAGTTTAGGTCTCACTGCAGCCCTGGAGTGCTGATGAGACTTCTTGACAACTCGGACTGTTGAATTGTGGAGGCCTTTGTTGTAAAACACTTGCTGCCATAGTTTGTAGAAGAATGAGCAGGTGCAGTGTTGGAGCTTCTCGTCAATGGTGGCTTTCTGAGAGATGTCGGTGTGAGTCAAAGTTGTGAGTGTGAACCGGTCAGAACCTCTTTAATCTCAGTCACCCCTGACCACCATAAACAAACATGACCATACAGTTTGTGGATGACTGCAGCGTTCTACCCCACTGTCCTCTAGATTTATAGGCTGATCTTGATCTCTTCAGTTCTGCATTCAAGAGACTCGGCCTGTCCTTCAATATTGCCAAAACAAAAATCTCATACGTCAAGCCACCTCCCTTATTTATTGAAGGGCACACTGTAAATTATGTTGAGCACTAATATTATACCTGCTACAGTGTTCCTCACTAATTGACTGGGATTGTACTTCCAAGTAATTCACTTAATTCATGTTCTTATGTAATTCTTGTAATCACCTACGTTCACCAGTTGTAGCCAAAATTCTTCCACTGACAAAAGTCCCTTTATAATGGGACTGTCTCTCACTGGCCTGTATTATATCGCGTTAGTGTGAGTTTGCACCCCTCTCACAATATGAAATCCTGCTTGAGAGACATTGCGTCATCCACATCAGCAGGAGAAAAAGTGATCCATTGTTGAAACCTATTGAGTTATTCAGATCAGAGTTAGAACTCTGCTATGGAATCTGTGCTTTGTGAGTTATTGTTCATTATTTTGTATTTACTTTAGTCCAAGAAGACTTACGAGCAAAAATGTAAAGAAAAGGATGAGGCTGAACAGATACTAAATCGAAGTTCTGGGATCAGCAATTCCAAGCAGCAAGATAAAGTAAGAATCTCTCACAACAGCTCTGTCAATGTTCTGTTTTGTTGCTTATTCACTGAAATTGCTCCTGTTATTCTGTTTCCATTGTTCACCGATTGTTTTACTTCCCTTAAGCCACAGTTTAAATATTTGTGCAACTCTGAGGACCTGTCTGGCCACCAGAGGGTTCAGCTAAACAGTAGATCTGAAAACCAAAGGAAAAGAAGATGTAAGATAAAGAGATACTGATACTCATCAGCATAATGGTCAGGACCAAACAATATCATTTTTTCAACAGACTCTAAGATGCTGAAACTCACATGCATGACATGAGTTATAACAGAATGGTGCATAGACTGTCTGTTCAGGATGTTTGTAATGTGAGACACTGAGAAGGAGTGCCCTGGGCAGTGGGTGCTGTATTGAGGGAGTGCCCTGGGCAGCATATACTGTATTGATGGAGTGCCCTGGGCAGCGTGTACTGTATTGAGGGAGTGCCCTGGGCAACGTGTACTGTATTGAGGGAGTGCCCTGGGCAGTGGGTGCTGTACTGAGGGAGTGCCTTGGGCAGTGGGTGCTGTATTGAAGGAGTGCCCTGGACAGTGGGTGCTGTTTTGAAGGAGTGCCCTGGACAACAGGTGCTGTAATGAGGGAATGCCCTGGACAGTGAGTGTTGTATTGAGGGAGTGCTCTGAACGGTGAGTGTTGTATTGAGGGCGTGCCCTGGACAGTGAGTATTATATTGAGGAAGTGCCCTGGTCTGCCAGCACTGTGGTGGGGGTTTGCTGACATCTTCTTGATAAATTAATTGAATTAATGCTATTTCTTCCTGTAATGCCAACTCCCAATGTTGTACACTGATTTTGTAGCATTCATTTTAAAATAAAGTATTTCATTTTGATTGAGAAGAATAACAGACTTTCTAGTCCTTAATTCATCTCTATTCTGTCTTTATACCTTTTAATCAATGAAGCCCTTTCCATTCCTTCAAATTCATCAGGTCAACAAAATAATCTTTGACTTCTTCAATAATAATTTCTCTTCTTCTTTGTTCAATTTGGTGCAATCACTTGTTCGTATTTGCTGTCAAGTCTCTGAATAAAAAAGTAAAGAACTTTTCTTAAAGTTTTGGAATTGGAAGGTAGCAAATGAATTCACAATTTAAGAAAAGAATAAGGGAAAAACGGGTAACTATAGACCTGTCTGCCCTCAATCAGTAATAGAGCAAATAGTGGAATCTGTTATTAAGGATGTGATATGTGGACGCTGAGGAAATAATGATCTGACTGGGCGTAGTCAGCATGGATTTGTGAATGGTAAATCATGTTTGACTAACCTGTTTGGGCAGCACAGTGGCTCATTTGTTAGCACAGCTGCCTCACAGCGCCAGGATCTGGGTTCAGTTTCACCCTTGGGTGACTGTTTGGAGTTTGCATGTTCTCCACGTGTCTGTGTGGGTTTCCTCCGGGTGGTCTGGTTTCCTCCCACAGTCCAAAGATGTGCAAGTTAGATGGATTGACCATGCTAAATTGCCCATAGTGTTCAGGATGTGTAGATTAGGTGGATTGTAGGGTTTGGGTCTTGGTGGAATGTTCTGAGGGTCGGTGTGGACTTGTTGGGCCAAAGGGCCTGTTCCCACACTGCAGGGATTCTATGATTCTATGATAACTTGTTGGAGATTTTTGAAGATGTTATAGACAATATTGATAATGTGATATACTTAGATTTTCAGGCTTTTAATAAAATTCCCCACAGGTGGTACTTAGCAAAATTAAAGTACATGGGATGGTACATAGGTGATAATATGACATGGATTGCAGATTGGTTAGCAGACAGAAAACAGAGAGTAGGGATAAATGGTACATTCTTACATTGGCAGACTGTGACTTTTGGGGTTACACAAGGAATGATTCTTGGGCCCCAGCTGGACCAAATATATTTCCAAATTTGCAATGATACAAAACTATGTGGGACTGTTTGTTCGGTGGAAGATGTAAAGCGCCTTTAAAAGGATGGGACAGGCTTAGTGAATGGGCAAAAGCATGGAGATGGAACACAGTATGGAAAAATGTGAGGAACATGTGTGGATCTTGCTTAAGTGACAAGATGTTGGAAAGTGTCGATTGCAAAGTGATGTAGGTGACAGTGTCAATAAGTCACCAAAGGCACATGCAGGTGCAGCAAGATATTAGGAAAACTCATGGAATGTTAGCCATTATTGCAAGAGGATTTGAGTACAGGAATAGTGAATTCTTGCTTCAATTGTGTCGGAGTTTGATTAGATGACATTTTGAGTACCGTGTGCAGTTTTGATTTCCTTATTTCCGGCAAGATGTTATTTTCAGAGAGGGAGTGCAATGAAGGTTCACCAGCCTTGTTCCTGGGATGGTGAGACTGTCCTACGAAGAGAGACTGGACAAACTGTGATCTCATTGAAACTTACAAAGCACTTAAGGGGTTAGACAAAGATAATTTTTTTACTCAGAGGATTATGAACCTTGGAATTCTCTTCCACAGAGTTCTGTGAATACTTCAACTTAGAGTATGTTTTAGGTAAAGATTGATAGATTTCTGATTACCAATCGCGTACAGGGTTATGGGGATTGGTGCATAAAAAGTATTAAAGTGTTGGATCAGCTATGATCATATTAAATGGTGGGACAGTCTCAGTGGGAAGAATAGCCTATTCCTGTTCCTGTACAGTGCTTTTCATCCTCTCAGGACACACAAAGTATTTTAAAGAGAATGAAGTGATGTTGATTGAGTGGTAGATATTGACCAGAACCCTGGGTTAACATTGCTGCCCTACAATAGTGTTCTGGAATCTTGTCCCGGAGAGTAATCGTAAAACCATAAGTTGTAGAAACAGATGTAGGCCATTCAGTCCATTGAATCTGCTCTGCCATTCACAGAGTTCATGGCTGATATGATAATCCTCAAATCTACTTTACTTGCCTTTTCATTGATTCCCTTACTGATTAAAAATCTGTCTGTCTCAGCTTTGAATATACTTAATGACCCAGCTTCTACAGCCCTTTGCCATGAAGAATTCCACACATTCGCTGCCCTCTGGGAGAAGCAATTTCTCCTCATCTCTGCCTTAAACGGGCGGCCCCTTATTCTAAGATTATTCTCTCTGGTTCGAGGCTTTCCCTCAAGGGGAAACAACATCTTGCGTGTTTCAATAACATTTACCTCCATTCTTCAATATTCTAATAAGCACTGACCAAACCTACTGAGCCAATCTTCATAAAACAGTGCTTTCAAACCTATCAGCTCAGGAAACTTCCCTGGACTGTCTCCAATGCCAGTATATCTTGCCTTAGATAAAGGGCCCAAACTATTTACAGTAGCTGTGGTCTAACTAGTCCCTTGTATAGTTTTAGCCAAATGTCCCTACTTCTGTACTCCAGTTCCTTTGGATTAAAGGCCAACATCCCATTTGCCTTCCCTATTACCTGCTAAACCCTTCATGGTTCATGCACGAGGACTCCCAAATCCCTCAATGTTGTAGCTTCCTGCAGTCTTTCTCTTTTTTTTATTCATTCATGGGACAGTCAGTATTTAATTGCCCATCTCTAATTGCCAGAGGGCGGTTAAGAGTCCAGCACATTTCTCTGAGTCTGGAGTCATACTTGGATCAGGCCAGGTAAGGACTGCTATTTCCTTCCCTAAAAGAGATCAGTGAACCAGATGGGTTTTTCTGACAATTGCCAATGGTTTCATCACTAGACTCTTAATTATAGATATTTATTGAATTCAAATTCTACCATCTGCCAGGGCAGGATTCGAACCTGGGCCCCAGACTAATAGTCTAACAATAATCCATCACCTCCCCCAAAGTAAAATTTAAATTTAATTTAAATAAATTTCAATAATATTTGCTCCACTTGGAGCCTGGGTTTAATACCTTAACCAAAAGATAGCACCTCCAACAGTGTGGCACTGCCCCTTGAAAAAATTACAAGTTCAAATCCCATTTCAAAGGCTTGAGCACAACATTTGAGGCAGTGTGGTGCATCATAGTGCATCCAGTGACACTACAAGTAACTCCAGATGGAAAAGAAAGGAGGATAGAGAGTTGCTGGTTTCAGTAAATCACCTTACTGTTTAATGCCATCGATATCCTATAGTGGTCTTGCGATTGAGAGTCTGATGAGATGCTGGGCATGAGATTGTTTTAAATTGTGTTGCTTTTTAAAATCATTCCATGTGATAATATTCTGTTTTTCAGTTGCAGTCAAAGGCAAACCAGAGTAAACAAATTGCAGAAGATGCTGGTGAGTGAAGCAACAATAAAATATTTATAGGGATGGAGTAGAATATTGTGAGTGGAAAGCCAGACATGCCAAACTTGACTCATTAGAAAGGATGTTCCTTGAATTGAACGTCTACCTGCTTTTCTGTTGTTACCCCTAAAATAAATACATGCAGCTGCTTCCAATTAAATGGCTTGCATTCAAAGCTGTAAATTCTCCTCCCAAAATTTCAATGATGAACAATCTGAAGCACAAAGGGACTTGGGAGTCTTGCTTTAGGATTCTCTTAAGGTTAAGACTCAGGTTCAGTTGGAAATTAGGAGGGCAAATGCAATGTTAGCATTCATCCCAAGAGGACTAGACTACAAGAGCAGAGGTGTACAGCTGAGGCTGTATAAGGCTGTGGCCAGACCACATTTGGAATATTCTGAACAGTTTTGGGCCCTGTGTCCGAGGAAAGATGTGCTGGCTTTGGAGGGGATCCAGCGGAGGTTTACAAGAATGATCCTGGTGATGAAAGGTTTGTCATTTGAGGAGCGGTTGAGGACTCTGGATCTGGAGTTTAGAAGGATGAGGAGCATCTCATTGAAAGTTACAGAATACTGAAAGGCTTGGATAGAGTGGAGGTAGAGACAATATTTTTAATATAGAAGAGCAATAATAGTACCCGAACGCACAGCCTCAAAGTGAAGGGATGGTCCTTTAGAACTGCGATGTGGAAGAATTTCTTCAGCCAGTTTGGTGAATCTGTGAAACCTGTTTCTGCAGAGGGCTGTGGAGGCCAAGTCATTGAGTGTATTTCAAGCAGAGATAGATGGGTTCTTGATTAGTAAGGGAACAGAGATTGCGGGGAGAAAGCAGGAGAATGGGGTTGAGAAGTATATCAGCCATGATCAAACAGCAGAACAGTTTTGATGGGTCGAATGTCCTAATTATGCTCCTATATCTAATGGTCTTATGGAAACACAGCCATAGTGAATCCATCCACACTTGCTTCAAGCACATATAATAACACAAGAAGAGAATTTTGGAGCAGGCTGTTCAACCCCTCATGTCTGCTTCACCTCCTGATAGCTGATCTGATTGTATCTTTTGCTTTTCTGTCTGTCCCATATATTCTCTGACTCCCTGACCACTCAAGAATGTATCCAACTCAGTTTTAAAAATATTCACCACCTCCCAAGACAAAGGATTTTCTGAGAGAGAAAACAAAATTTTCCTAATCTCTATCTTAAATGGATGTCCTCTTATTTTTAACCATGTGTCCTAGTTCTGGTCTCCTCCACACCCTGTCAAATTGTGTCACGATCTGATATGCTTCAATAAGATCACCTCTCCTTTCTCTAGCCCACGGTAGATATAGGCCGAATCTGTCACAGCTTTCCCATTAGAAACCACCTTCATCCCAGGAATCAGGTAACTGCACTTTCTCTGCACTGCTCTCCATGCAATTGTGCCCTAACTTAAATAAAGTGACCACTGGAGCCAAGTCTAAAATCGTACTCGGCATTTCGAAGGATGTTGAATGATCTTGAATAGAAAATGGACCTCTTTTACAAATACTTGAATGGATCATTTTGCATGTGGACAAGTCAAACAACTTGTTTGCAGACACATTCTCTTTTCATTTTAATTCTGTATTTGAAAACCAGTGAGCAAGTGAGTCCGAACGTGGATCATTCAGCTTAAACTAAGAAATAACATAAATTAATGAGGACTGAAGATCCGGGATGTACACAGCCAAGGCTCAATAGCAAACTAATTAATTTTATAAACCACATGCTCCTTGAGTCAAGTCTCCCTCTCTGATCAGTGGAGATCTCCCATGCCATGGAGTACAGGAGCAGGCTTGAGCAGTTCTGAGAGGACGCATAGAGAGGACGCATAGAGTCATAGAGCTGTACAGCATGGAAACAGACCCTTCAGTCCAACTCGTCCATGCCAACCAGATATCCTAAATTAATCTGGTCCCATTTGCCAGCATTTGGCCCTCCAAACTCTTCCTATTCATAAGCCATCCAAATACCTTTTAAATATTGTAATCATACCAGCCTTCACCCCTTCCTCTGACAGCTCATTCCATACACGCACCACCCTCTGAGTGAAAAAGTTGCCCCTTAAGTCCCTTCTATATCTTTCCCCTCTCACCTTAAACCTATGCCCTCTAGTTTTGGACTCCACTACCCTGGGGGAAAGACTTTGGCTGTTGACGCTATCCATGCCCCTCATGATTTTATAAATTTCTATAAGGTCACCCCTCATCCTCCGACGCTCCAGGGAACATAGCCTCAGCCTATTAAGCCTCTCCCCATTGCTCCGTGAAGGTCATGGCCTACTGCTCTCCTCCCACATAGAGCTGCACATTGCAACATTGCTAATGGCGTAACTGCAGCAAAGTGAAATATGTCACTCAAGTAACTTCCTATTTGCAATTTAACACTTTTAAAAATGTTGCTTGTGGAATTGAACTTGAATATTTTTGAAAGAGCAATTTTTCCAAAGGTTTTTGTCTGTCAGAGTTAACGTTTCGGGTCCGGTGACCCTTCCTCTGAACAGTGACCCTTCCTCAATTCTGCCACTTGTTCCCCAATTCTACATTCAGACCTTGTTCATTCATCTTCTATGGTCTTGAAAGGGTGCAATGATAGCAGTGTTTCCCAAAGCCTACCCCCATTGTGGACCCATTTTGAAGCTTGAAAATTTCCATGACACCAAAGCTGTGAGGGTGAGGGAGTCACCCATGACAGTGGATGGAGCAGAAACTGGAGAGCTGTAAGAGCAGGAAAAGTGTGGAGTGAAGAGTCCTCCAGCCCACCGTCACAGCTGTACAAGGGGTCTTGGAGTATGTTGGAGATTGGGAAGCTGTGAAAGAGAAAGTAGGAAGTGTGAAAGCAGGGACTGGGGAAGGTGGGGAATTGGCACAATAAGTAAAGGACAACCTCCCAAACCAGTCCAGGGCATGGTCACGTCTCCAGTCAGGAAGGCCTTATTCTGGGTCTCTGCAGTCCAAGGAGTGGGGCATGGTCAGTCCATTGGTTCCATAGCAGGGTCTTGTGGGTAGTGCTGGTAAATGGGGAGATGCACAGGCACCAGTCAGGGGTCTGGACATGTCCTGCCCAGGACGGTATGTTCATGGCAGTGGAGGAGGTGGGTCATAGAGTCATAAAGTCATACAGCATGGAAACAGAGATAACAAGGTGTAGAGATGGAAACAGTCCCTTTGGTCCAATTTGACCACGCCAACCAAGCTTCCAAAACAAAACTAGTCCCACATACCTACATTTGGCCCATATCCCTATCAACCTTTCCAATTCATGTCCCTGTCCAAATGTCTTTTTTAAAACACCTACCACTTCCTTTGGAAGTTCATTCCACGTACGAACCACCTTCTCTGTGAAAAAGTTGCCCCTCGGGTCCCTTTTAAATTTTTCTCCTCTCACCAAAGCAATATGCACTCTGGTTTTGAACTCCCCCCAAGCTAGGGAAAAGACCTTTGCTATTCACCTTATGTATGCCCCTCATGATTTTATAATCTTCTATAAGTTCACCCCTCAACTTCCTACACTCCAGTGAAAAAGGTCCCAGCTTTTCCAGCCTCTGCTTATAACTCAAACCCTCCAGTCCCGTCAACATCCTTGTAAATCTTTTCTGAACCCTGTCCAATTTAATATTCTTCATTCAGCAGGGTGACCAGAAATGTACTCGGTACTCCAAAAGTGCCATCACTATGTCTTGTACAACTCAAGATGACATCCCAACTCCTATATTCAGGGGTCTGTTCAATGAAGGAAAACATGCTAAACACCTTCTTAAGCACCCTGTCTACTTTTGAGAGTTAGTAAGAACTGCAGATGCTGGAATCAGAGATAACACAGTGTGGAGCTGGAGGAACACAGCAGGCCAGGCAGCATCAGAGGAGCAGGAAAGCTGACGTTTCGGGTCAGGATCATTCTTCAGAAATCTGGCGATGGCATGTTAATGAGAAAAGGGGAGGGAATAAGTGACGTGACAATGGCTGGTATGGCTGTTAGTATTGGTGTATGTAGAAGAAAAGTGGTGAGGTGTCCCCAGATGAATGTGTAGGCGTTACAGAGGGCATGCAGTATTACTGGTTTGAGAAGCTGAGGGAGAGGTGAATGGGTGAGGAAGAAGTTGCAATGCTGTGAGCCTTGGTGGAGGGTGGGTGCAGTAGTAGGGATGGAGTATGAAGTGGGACTTAACTTGGTGGAGGATTGACCTTCTTTCTACACTGCTGGCTGTTCCTCCACAGCCCTGGATGTGGCACTGACCTGGGTGATGATCTCAGACTACACTGGCAAGGTCTAGTGCATGGCCACTTCTGCTACTCCTCCAGGACAAGGACTCCTCATCTTTGCACCACCCCATCAACCAAAACCTCCAGGTCATTGTTGGAAAATCCTGTCCTCCAACATGTTGCAAGTCTGACCCATGCCCAAGCAGGGCAGCTTTGGAATGCCAGTGCATACGCAGACACACAGTGCTGTTTAAAAGATGATGCAGGCTCAAGGGATGCGGATATTTTGGTGGGTACCCTCTGAGTGGCGAATTTTGGGGGAACGGTGCGAGGTAAGTTAAGGTGAAATCAGATGTGTGAGACACTGTGGGGCAGGGTAGGTAATCAATGAGGTGAGTTGGGTAAGATGGGACGAGAAAATTCACAAGGCTTCGTGATGAAAAGCCCTTAAAAAAAATCTTGATGCAATTCAGACTTTGCCAAAAAAAACCCACAAAATTCAGCCTATTGTGGCTACTCTGACTTTTGCCACAGTTATAATATTAGACAGACTAAATTGGGAAGATGTGCTTCCCACGTTCAAACTGTTTTTATATTCATAAAGGGATTTGGCAGCTATGAGTCATTAGCTTGACCTTAAAAAATTGGAAAAGTTATAGCGTAAGCAACTGGAAACAGAATGGACAAGAAGCATAATAAATGGCAGATGTCTAACCTCAGAGAATTTGATAAGGCTGAACCCATAAGAAGTGGAATACACAGATTTCCAAAGGCTTCTGATTGATGTTGTACAATGTGCACTTTATTACAATCTAAGCTATTTAGCTGCTGAGCAAATGGGTATCAAAGGTAGGCTACACACATGCACATGATTCTCCCTTTCCAGTTCAATTCTATTGATATATCCCACTCTACATCTCACTTTGGGTACACACCAGTTTTCAAGTTCAAAAATGAGGTCACTTGAGGGACCCTTTCATCCTGGGATATGCCTGCCATCTGCCTGCATGTGGGTCGATGTATGTTTCTGCATCCTGTGAACACTTTCTCTCAAATTCAAATCACAGACTAAACTATGAGATAAATGGAACCGGAATAGAGCAATGAATCATAAAACAAAAATACAACTCCCCAGAGATGGTGCAATAGTGGTTAGGAACAGAATGCTGGCCACTTTCTCCACCCACCTCCCTTAACCAGGTCAGTGGTTCTGCAGTGTTCAGGTAACTCATTACAGACTGAGAGTTGCCCCGTGACTCTCCTCCTTTGTACGGCTCAGCTGAGCCCTCAAGCAGCAGATATTTCCTGAAAAATGATTTACATTTGGTTTATGGTGTATGTGGCCTCTTTGCATGTTTGCACATTCAAGTAAAGTTGCTTTTTATAACTGCTGTATGAGTCAGAATGGCTTGTTTATTGGCACTGTCTGTAGTGAAACTATTTTGCAAGTTTCCATCTACCCAGACAAAATTATGCTTCCTTGTAATTTGTCTTCAGACTGTTTCCAATCCTTTTCTATTTTGATCATTATGATGAAAAGGTACAGTTCACATTTTTCCTAGGAATATAGGCACAAGAATAGGCCATTCAGCCCATCAAGACTGCTGCACCAGTTAATACACACAAGGCTGCTTGAACACTTCAACGCCTTTTACCAACACTATCCCCATAACCTTTATGCATTGATAATCAGAAATTTATCAATCCCTACTTTGAAAGCTCACACTTTGAGTTTACAATGCTCTGCAGTGTTCCCTTTAGTTTTCATCTCAGCTCTGCAGGTTTCCGAAGTCCATGTACAGCAATGACCTCTGCCAGAACCAGATGTCATGCAGTAATTGGCATGTTGACACCAATTGCTGTGCATGGAATCATGGAGCGGCTGTGTATGCAGCTCTGAGGGAACACTGGTCCTCTGGTTTGTGCCCCCTGGTTTTGCACTTCCCAACCGGACAAATATCTGATGGACAGCGCAGATGCAATGCGGTTAAGTATTTTTAGGTTTCATTGCGATCACCTCTCATTCTTTGATACACTGGAGAATACAGGCTCAGTTTGCTCAATCTCTGTCCAAAGGACAGCCCCACCATTTTGGGAACAAGTCTGATGAACCTTTGTTGCACTCCCTCTACGGCAATAATATTTTTCCTGAGATTAGGAAACCAAAGCTGCCCACGGTACTCCAGATGCGAACTAACCAAGCTCCTATTCAATTGAAGCAAGACTTCGATACTCTTGTACTCAACTCCTGTTATGATAGCCTTCCACCTGCATATTAGCCTTCAGTGACTTATTGATCAGGGCACCTTGGTCCCTTTGTATATCTACACTTTTCAATCTCTTACCATTTAAAAAAAAACTTTGCATATCTGTTTCTCCTACTAAATTGGATGACATCAGATTTTCCACATTATATTCCATCTGCAATATTCTTACCCATTCACGAAGCTTGTTCAAGATGCTTTACATTTTCCTTACAACACACTTTCCCACTTAGTTTTGTATCATCCGTAAATTTGGAAATATTACATTGGTGCCCACCTCAAAATAAGTTATATATGCATATATATACATATTTTGTGTATCAAGTATTAGTCTTTCAGTACCCACTAGTCACAATCTGCCAACATGATAATGACCTATTTATTCCTACTCTGCTTTCTGTCTGCAAGCTGAACCTTAATCCATTACCTCCTATCCAATGTGCTTTAATTTTGCTAACCAACTTCCTGCGGGGAGGACATTATCAAAACCCTTCTGACGAGTCATTTCTACTACATCCATCAACTCCCCTTTATCAATTTTGTTGGGAAAATCCTCAAAAAAATCCAATAAGTTCATCAATCAAGATTTCCATTTGTAAATCTGTGCTTACAATGCCCTATCAGATCATTGTGATCCATTTATGTCATCCTTTATAATAGATTCAAGAATTTCTCTACAATTGATGTAAGGTTCACAGGTTTGCAGCTCTCTGTTTCTTTCTTGCCACCATCTTAAGTTGTGCAATGATATTTGATAGCTTCTAATCTACAAGAATCTTTCCAGAATATCCAAAATTTTGAAAGATAAAAAAATTGCTTTGATTATCTCTGTAGCCATCTCCTTCAACACTCTGGAACATAGTATATCCTAGCATTTATCGACTGCCATGAAGCTCTTATAGAGGTTACTTGCTCAGAAGAATTTAAAATCCACTACCTTCTACAATAAGAACTCATGTTGAGGACCAAAGCATTGCAACCAGTAAACCAAGTCCATTATCAGAGATCACAGTAATACCATCAGCAGATGGTATTATTTAAGAATGTGGATCATTCAAAAGAGGTAATTGGCATGCCTTTATTGATTGAGGCCCAGGAAGCTGATTGAGTTAATTATATTAGTACGGAGAGCTCGTATTGAAGCTGAGGCTGCGGAGTTTGCTTAAAAAGGGAATTCTGATGAGGAAGCAGAGACATCCTCTCACGCTTGAGGATGAAGAATGGACAGTTGTTCATCAATTAGTGGTACTGTCCAGATTTTGTAAGGAGGTATTGTCCACAGCATGTGAGATTCATAAGACAGAACATATAGGAATACAGAAAAAGCAGGTGTCAATGAACAAGTAATTTTACATGGCCAAGATTTCATAAAGATGTAGCCAGTTCTGTAACACATGTCATACACATCAGGAGGTAGGAAACCTCGACATGTAATCGAACCGGTACCTTTGATACCCATGCCAGTTTTTGAAGAATCATTTAGCCAAGTGTTAGTGGATTGTGTAGAGTCATTACCAAAAACAAAACTAGGACATAAGTTTATCCTTATTGTTATGGATGTGACAACCCAATTCCCTTAAGGACATTTACAGCTAGGGTAGTGATGGAATTATTGATGAAGTGTTTTTAATTGTTATAGGCTAACATTTGACATACAATCTGATCAGTTCTAAATTTTTTGACTATAGTTTTCCAGGAAGTCATTAGCAGTTTGGGTATAAAATAATTAAAGTTGGTTGCATATCATCCACAAACACAGGGAGCTTTAGGTGTCGTCGGTGTCGCAAAACCATGATTTAGGCATATTGTACTGAATATCCACAGGATTGGGACTAAGGATTAGATTTCTTACTATTTGCTACCAGAGATTCTCCAAATGTGTCCACTGGATTTAGTCCGTTTGAATAGGTTAATGTTCATGAGATTAGAGGTCCAATAAAATTGATTCGGGAGAAGGTCTTGAATCAAAAAGTCAAATTCTCAATGTTGGGTTATATTTCCATCTTTCTAGGAAGACTCACAGGAGTATGTAAGGCAGCAGAGGAATATCTGAAAGTTTTACAGATGAAAGTGAAAGAAAAGGCACATAAACATTCAACAATTAGAATGTTTCAAGTGGGAAATGAAGTAATGGTGTTGATGCCTTTACAAGGTGAACCCCTGAAAGTGAAATCTAGAGGCCCTGACTCATGTTCTAATATTTAAAACAGAACAACAGGAGGATCTTGCAAGACTAAACATAACAACCAAAGAACTGTGGATGCTGGAAATCTGAAACAAAATCAGAAAATGGGAAAACTCAGCAGGTCTAGCAGCATCTGTGGAGAGAAAGCAGAGTTCAGCGACCCTTCTTCAGTTCTGAGGAAGTTTTCCTTCATGTTTTACTTCAGTGTTCTAATCATACAAAGGACAATAAAAAAAGTACTTAGGGGCTGTTGTTGTGCATCTGTTGTTTGCATGGAGTTTAAACATGCATCGTCATGTATAGATACATAGTCGCCTCCAGAAAGAAATCCTCCATTTGGTCTCCCAGTTTGAGCCATCCAGACACTGCCACAGGAACGATATCAACTTGAAACATTAATTCTGTTTCTCTCTGCACAGAATTTGTTATTGCTGAGTATTTGCTGTGTTTATTTAAAGTTTTCAGCATCTGCATTGTTTGTTTCTTTTTATTTGAGTCTGCTGGACTCTTCAGAGGGCTGGAACATGGTGGTGTTTATGAGGTCAAGAGATGGAGAGTAGGGGTGGGAAGAACAGATTGTGAGGCTGTCCAAAGCAAAAGACATGCACAGTGCTGATGGTGGTAAAGGGGAAATAAAGATGTACAATGGGGTGTATCGAAGGTTTGAAAAGAAGAAAATAGGTCCACTTAGCTGAGAGCAAAGTCAAGAAGACACAAGCAAAATACGGCCAGGGATATGGGTGGATTGTAAGAATAGTGGAGGACAGAGTTCATGATCTGAAGTTGCAGAACTCAGTAATGTTTTTGTTTCAGATTGACAGCATCCACAGTATTTTGCTTTCTGCTGGATTACATAATGGTGTAGTTTATAGGCTTAATGTCCTTAATGCTTCACGCAAAGATTTTGAATCTTGTTTTCCCACCTTACAGATCGAACATACCAGCAGAATGTTTCCACCCTGGAGAAGATCCAGGAGGAATGGCAAAATGAGCACATCAGGACCTGTGAGGTAGGTGTAAGTGTACATACCAAAATAACATTGAATACCTCCCAATGATGTGCAGGCCAGACAGATTCAATTGATCTGCAAACCCTTTGTCAAATTGGATTAAGCTAATCCAAACTCCAAATCTGGATCGCTGTTACTGACTGCAACATATAGCAAGGTGAAAAATTTATATCACATTTTTTCAATTCACCAATAATACTTTTTTAATGCAACGTTTTCCAGCCAGCGATTCTGAAGAAGGGTTCAATACTGTTCATTGCAGCTGTGAGCATAATACTGAAGGCTGTGTTGCTTGCACAGTGCCAGGGTTAAGAACGTCTCCTCGAGGCTGGAGAGCAACTTGAAGTGGGGGAGAAGAATAGAGATCCAGTTGTCATCGTCCACATAGATGCTGATGACATTGATAGCACTGGGAAGAAGGTTCTGCTGAAAGATTTTGAACATTTAGGTGCTGAATTAGGAACCAGAACCTCCAAGGTAATAATCTCTGGATAACTACCTGAGCCATGGGCAAACTGGCATTGAGTAAATAAAGTTAAGGAGTTAAATGTATGGCTCAGAATCTGGTGTGGAAAAGATAGGTTTCAGATCATGGGGCACTGCCACCAGAACAGGGGTCAAAGGGAGCTGCTAGGGAGTAGGACATGCTTCACTTAAACAGTTTTGGGGCCAGTGTCCTGTTTAATTGAACAACTAGGGTCATGGAGATGGCTTTAAACTAATTGGATGGAGGAGTATTTAGGAAAAGGATGGTGTAGGCTTCCAAAGCAAGAGGGTGTGATAGCTTTACAGGGCAGCTATTTGGATGTTGGTATCCGCAATGGCACAGGAAGAAGTAGAAAACATGGAAAAACGGCAGCAAATGGGATCACAGGGGTTAAAAATGGTAAAAATGCAAATTAATGGCCCTTTAGCCAAATGTATATTGTTTTTGGAACAAAATAAATGAATTAATGGCACAACCCACAGTCTAAAGACATGCAGGTGAGATGGATTGGCCATGCTAAATTGCCTATAGTGTCTAGGGTGGGAAATGCTGGGATAGGATAAGGTGTGGGTCTGGGTGGAATGCTCTTTGGAGGGTTGGTGTGGACTCAATGGGCTGAATGGCCTGCTTCCATGCTGTAAGGATTCTATGACTTATATGACTTAAAAATACAGGTTAATGGATATGATCTTGCAGCCATTACAGAATGCTTAAAATTAAAAACTATGGGTAAGGGAAGAACAGACTTTCTTTTTTAAAAAGTTGCATTTAGAGCTCCTTCTTATAGGCTTTATAATATAAAGTATAGGCTTTAACTTCTCCCAGCATAGAGTGTCAGCAGCAATCAGTCTACAAACACTGAATTTGAGAAACACTGGGTCTTTTTAGGCAAGTCTGTGTTAGCAAATTTTTAAGGGGAGATTATGGCAGTCAGTGAAGTGGTATGCTCCTCCTGACAGATGTGGGAGATTAGGGAACAGTTGGAATGACCCTGGAGACTTTGGATCTGTCTCATATCACAGAACATTTGAATCAGTTGGCAAGGCAGATGGAGTCACTGACCACCCTCCGGTGAAGCTATATGGGTGGAACTCAGAAATAAGAAAGGGATGATGGGATTGTACATAGGCACCTCCAGTAGTCAGCAGGAAACTGAGGAGCAAGTAAGCAGCGAGATCTTAGATATATGTAAGAATAATCGAGTTGTGATTGTAGGGGACTGCCATACTGTTAAGGGTTGGATGGTGAGGAATTTAATAAACGTGTTCAAGAAAATTTTCTTTATCAACATGTAGATGTGCCTCCTAGAGAAGGAACATAACTTGACCTTCTCTTGGGAAATAAGGCAGGGCAAGTGACTGAAGTGTTAGCGGGAGAGCACTTTGGGACCAGTGATCATAATTCTGATAGTTTTAAAATAGTTATGGAAAAGGATAGGCCTTGTATAAAAGTTAACATTCTTAATTGGAGTAAGGCCAATTTTGATGGTATGAGACAGGAACTTTCAAATGTTGACTGGAGTAGATTGTTCACAGGGTTTCAAAAAAAAAGCCAATACATTAGTTATGGGTGAAATTAATATTCATGGCCAAAAACAAAGTTGCTGGAAAAACTCAGCAGGTCTGGCAGCATCTGTGAAGGAAAAAACAGAGTTAATGTTTCGGGTCTGGTTCTTGATTTACAGCATCCGCAGTTCTTTCGGTTTTCATTAATATTCATGGAGATTGGTATAGACAGTATAGCAGAAGAAGCCAGGGGGAAGAATTCATAGAGTGTATTTTGGATAGTTTCTTAGAACAATATGTTGTGGATCCAATCAGAGACTAGGCAATGTTGGTTCTAGTAATCTGCAATAAAGCAAGTTTAATAAGTAATCTTAGACTCAAGAGCCCTTAGGACATAGTCTCAGAATAAAGGGACGCCAATTTAAGACTGAGATGAGGGGGAATTTCCTCTCTCAGAGGGTTGTGAGTCTTTGAAACTCCCTGCCACAGAGAGCTGTGCGGGCAGAGTCCTTGTGTATATTTAAGGCTGAGATAGATGGATTTTTGATCAATAGCAGAATCAAGGGTTATAGGAAATGGGCAGGAAAGTGGATGTGAGGAATGTTGGATCAGTCATGATTGTATTGAATGGTGGAGCAGGCTCGAGGGGCCAAACAGCCTACTCCTGTTCCTACTTTGTATGATCTAACAGTCAACATAATATAGAAGAATTTAGCATTCCATTTGAGAGTGAGAAACCTGCGTCAGAAACAACATCCTAAATTCAGATAAAGTTAATTACAGTGGTGGCTAGAGAGGACTTGGAAAGGAATTTAGTAGCAAAGACAATTGAGGAACAATGACAGATGTTTCAGAAGATCATTCATGGTCCACAACAAAAATATACCCCAGTGAGAAAGAAGGTTCTAGGATGGTGATAAGCCAACCATGGTTGAGCAAGGAAGTTAAGATTGAAAGAAAAAAACATACAATATGTGAAAAGATTAATGGTAAGCTAGATGTTTAGGAAAGTTTCAAAAGCAACAAAAGATAACTCAATAAATAACAAAGAGGGAGAAAAGAGATATCATAGACACAAACAGAAATTGCTGGAAAAGCTCAGCAGGTCTGGGCAACATCTGTGGAGAGGGATCAGTATTAGCACTTCAAGTTGGGAGACCCTTACTCAGACCTGAAACGTTAATTCTGATTTCTCTTCATAGATGCTGCCAGATTTGCTGAGCTTTTCCAGCAATTTCTGATTTTGTTTCTGATTTACAGCATCCACAGTTCTTTCGGTTTTCATTGTAAAAGTAAACATTGTGGTAAGCTAGCAAGTAATTTGAAAACAGAGATCAAGATCTCCTTGAAATATACAAAAAGGAAGAAAGAGGCAAAAGTGAGCATAGGCTCCTTAGAGAATGAGGCTGGGAAAGTAATTCTGGCAGATGGAGTACAATGTTGGTAAATGTGAGATCATCCATTTTGTTAGAAATAACAGCAAAATGGACTATTATTTAAATGGTGAAAAATTGCAGCATGCTGCTATGCAGAGGGACCTGGGTGGCCTTGTGCATGAATCACAAAAAGTTGGTTTGCAGGTGCAACAGGTAGTTAGGAAGGCAAATGGAATTTTGTCCTTCATTGCTGAAGGGATTGAAATAAAAAGCAGAGAGGTTATGTTGCAGCTGTACAAGGTGCTGGTGAGGCCACACCTGGAGTACTGGATACAGTTTCGGTCTCCTTACTAGAGAAAGGATGTACTGGTACTGGAACGGGTGCAGAGGAGGTTCACTTGATTGATTCTGGAGTTGAGGGGGTTGGCTTATGAGGAGAGATTGAGTAGACTGGGACCATACTCATTGGAATTTAGAAGTATGAGGCAGAGAGGGATCTTGTAGAAATATATAAAATTGTGAAGGGAATAGATTAGACAGAAACAGGAGAGGTGTTTCCACTGGCTGGTGAAACTAGAGCTAGGGTCATAGCCTCAAAATAAGGGGAAGCAGATTTAGTACTGAGCTGAGGAGGAAGTTCTCCTAAGGCATTGTGAATGGGGAACTCCCTGCCCAGTGAAGCAGTTGAGGCTACCTTGTTGAATCTTTTAAACAGTAATGGGATTAAGGGTTATGGTGAGTGGGCAGCTAAGTGGAGCTGAGTCCACGAAAATGATCAGCCATGATCTTATTGAATAGTGGGTCAGGCTCAAGGGGCCAAATGGCCTATCATGCTCCTATTTCTTATGTCCTTATAATGGGGGAGCAGGAATTTGCAGAGAAATTGAATAAATACTTCAATTTTACAGTAAAGGAAACTAATACCATTCCAAAAAAGCCTAAAAAATCAAGGATCAAAAAGGGAGACGAAATAAATATGATAACTATCACTAGCAAAAAGGTACTCAGGAAACTAATCGGGCTAAGTTTCCTGGACCTCATGGAATACATCTTAGGAAATTAAAGGAGGTAGCTACAGAGATAGTGGGTGCACTGGATAATAATCTTCCAAGAATCCTTCAATTCTGGAAGGGTTCCAGAGGATTGGAAGACTGCTAATATAACACTTTCATTCAAAAAGGGAGGGAGACAAAAACAGCCAACTATGGACTAGAGATAGTAGGAACTGCAGATGCTGGAGAATCCGAGACAATAAGGTGCAGGGCTGGATGAACACAGCAGGCCAAGCAGCATCATAGGAGCAGAGAGGCTGACGTTTCGGGCCTAAACCCTTCATCAGAAAAGGGGGAGGGGAAGGGGGTTCTGAAATAAATAGGGAGAGAGTGGGAGGCGGATAGAAGAGGGATAGAGGAGATACACAGCAGGCCAAGCAGCATCATAGGAGCAGAGAGGCTGACGTTTCGGGCCTAGACCCTTCATCAGAAAAGGGGGAGGGGCTCTATCCCTCTTCTATCCGCCTCCCACTCTCTCCCTATTTATTTCA